CGATCAACAATTTTGCTTCGTATTCAGGAATTTCAATTCTTGGAGCGGACTCCGGCTACCACGACCGTGGATTTTCGTGGTTTGACTGTCTCCCCCTCGAGCGTCCCTACCAGACGACAACCTAAACCTATGCGTTTGGAAAGGCGTCGTTAAATCGATTCATTCCGTCCACTTCCCTTCTGGGATCGCAGTCCACAGCAGAGGCGACCAGCCGCCACTGACGCTACGAGCCATCAATTTTGTGTCCAATCTCCAGATCGGAACTCCATTCGCGTTCACACCCATCACGCTGAGTTCAATCACATTCCTTGATCGATACAGCCTACGGGAAGCTTTATTACTCGACACGCGATACTCAGACAACCGCGTGATGGCTTCTAGGCACTTTCGCGACTAAACTTTGGAGGAACAAATTGACCTCACCGATCTTCGCCTTGCATTTCTGTCTGTCCGAATGTTTCGACCCGAACAAGGCGGAATGGACCTCTTTTAAATATGACGTCGGGGAATTCCACTAAAAATCTGTCGACAAATTTCGATTTTGGTTAAATTTTCACAATAACTGGCTCATTACGTATAAACACGCAGGGGCCAGATATCCCGCCCACACGAAGGTTATTGACCACCGGTGAAAGGTCAAATTCTGTTAAGCGCGCCGCCATTGCTAGGTCAATATTTCTGTTGGTAGCTAATCTCATGCCACCACCTGGAAGACCTAGACATAGATGGAAGGAAATAAACTAAAACTGATCTTCTCGAATTAGGGCGTGGACTCGAGTTTGGATTGAACTGGCTCACGATAGGAGCCAGTGGCAGACAATTGTAAACACGGCACCGAAGCACGTTTCCATAAAAGGGTGGAGAATTCTTTGACCAGCTGAGCGACTATTAGCTTCTGAAGAAGGACCCTGATCCATACGTTACTAATTTATACAAACGAGAGGCTCCAGAGAGCGCGGACACCTCACCGCGGCCATCACGCACGTAGTTCCTCCGTGTTTCGGTTCTTCGCTCTCAAGTTGCGTGATTGATTGATTGAAATAAGGCGAATTACAGCTCGCGAACAGTCCGACGGACTCGAGGGTCTACGTACATGAGCTGTACAGAGTGTTCACGTCACAGAAGTAAGAAAAGTGCCATTTGTTTCGCCAAAATACATTGTCCTAGACCCTGCTTCAGGGGCATGACGTCAGCTGACTAGTAAGTCGGTTCCTGTGGCGTTTAACTATGCTCGGGCATCCTGTATGTGTGACCCAGAAACTGGCTGCCTCACGTCTGGACTCGTCAGAAAAAAAAACCCTTGTCTTTCATAAAGTATTCGCCATTTCAAATAAAAGTCACAGCTACACGGTACGACCTACACAGTTCAGGGAAGATCCATCCCCCACGATCCATAATCTAATCGAAATCCATTCAGTTCTTGCGGAGATGAAAGTTGAGGACAGGCGGACCGAAACGAACCGTCCATCATAATCAACCTCGTCCCAGTTTCCCAGTCGTTACGATCTCAAGAGCCAGATTACGTTCCGCGATGCTTCAACATCCGTCTTAATGTTATCCCTCTACGCACTGATCCCTGCCCTTCGGGATTTCCTAAACACGATTTTTGTACGCGTCTCTCCTTCCCAATCGACGCATGGAAGACTTTTTCGAAATGCAGGCCACTCCGGTGGAGAGCAACTTCCAACCTCGTTTCGCCTCAGCTGAACGAGGCGTGGGCTGATCGCGGCCCCCGCTGGCACTGCAGATCCCTTGTGTACGTTAGAGACGGTAATTAAAGAGGAGTAAACAGCTTACGAGTGCCGGTAAACGAAGAACACAAGACCGCGTCATATTTATTATGCGCTGGGACCGACAGACCCCGCAGAGAACTCCTCCAGGAGTAAACACACGTCGTCTGTGTCACCTACGGAAGGCGCGAGGTTCACAGCTGCAGGTATTTAGGTCCTAGAAGCTAATTCTGAGCGCGTGGTCAGGCTCCTTGTCAATGAAACGTCCAGAAACCTCACTGGCCCAGGCTGACTTTGTAGGACGCAGTGAGGTGGGATCTTTTTTTTTTTTATTGCAACGCCCTGCCTCGACTACACCCCCGCTAGGAAAATGTCTTGCGGCATTCCGAGGGAGCTGGTAGACCTTCGCTGCTTAATCTGTTCAAACATTGGGTTTACGGCACGGAGATCGTATCTGCAATAAACGAACATCAAATACAAGGCGCACAACGCAGGTCCACGTGCTCCAATCACGTGACACAGACGCTGCGTCTCGCTACATTCACGTTCTAATCGTCCGCGGTTTTTAAAATGTGCGACAGACCGCTTTATTAAACGTACTGTCACTAGCATCAAACACTGCCCTTGGCGTTAAAGTGGTCAATGGAGAGAGCTACTCGCGTTATTAACCACCAGCACCGCTAGCATAAGAGCCAGCTCAGTCCAATTCTGAAACCGACTGCCTCGTGCACTGTCTTCAGGCAAGCGAATCATCTGAACCGCCCCCAGAATTTCCTCACCTGTCGCCGTTGCGTCGTGTCCACCGCGTCCACAGCCCTCGCGAGCGTCGCCACGCACAGGGCCCAGCACAGAATAGTTGCAGCCGTCGCCATGGTTCATCCGCT